CATATATTTCATCCTCCCCCTCATACATCCTTCCTCCCTCTTCATACATCCTTCCCCTCATACATTTCCCCTCATACATTTCCCCACAAATAGGAACTGAGAGATACGTGTGTGTGTGTGTTCAATTATGTATACTTATAACAATGTACACAGGAGCATACACATTTAATTGAATATACACATACACAAACATACACTATACCAATGTAGATTATTTAGTTTGACGTCATATGGCATCTGCTCTTGAGGAAGATATTAATACTTTAGAAAAATGAAAAGTTTAGACAAATTAGCGAGAAAAAAAAAGTACTGTTCTCTTGTCTTAGGGTTGGTGACCACGGCCCTCCATACCAGGCATTTATTGGGTTGTCTATTAATACGTTCTTCTTTTGTTTCTCTCTACTAACTCAAGTTTAGTTTATTTTAACCTTTTTAGTCTGTGTCTCTTCCACCTTGTCCTTATTACTTCTAAATCGTAATTCATTGTTATATTTACTATTATTTATTTTACCCTTAATTACCTTGGTTATATTATTTCATTAAGCAGTAATGATTGGTGGTTGTCGTCACCCTGATCTCTGACGTCACAAGTAACATACGTGAGTCACCTTCAACACTCGCCACACGCACTCTGCCACCCATTACTCACAGGCCCCCAGAAAAACCACTAAAATCCCGTCTGTTTATTGTTTCAACCTCTCGGGGCGTTTAGTCGCTTAAAACAGCCAAGTTTAACCCAGCTCAAGTCCTCACCCACTCCTCCAGCACTTGTGAAATTAGAGTTGTATTTGTGATATAAGAAATAAATGTAGTCTTGTGTGTGGGTGTGTGTGTGGGTGTGTGTGTGGGTGTGTGGGGTGTGTGTGTGTGTGTGTGTGGGGGTGTGTGTGTGTGTGTGTGTGTGTGTGTGTGTGTGTGTGTGTGTGTGTGTGTGTGTGTGTGTGTGGGTGTGTGTGTGTGTGTGTGTGTGTGTGTGTGTGTGTGTGTGTGTGTGTGTGTGTGTGTGTGTGTGTGTGTGTGTGTGTGTGTGTGTGTGTGTGTGTGTGTGTGTGTGTGTGAGGGTGTGTGTGTGTGCTCATCTAAACAGGACAAATTACTGTGATAATAATATGTCTTGGTTAATAACAAACACAAACAGATTGACAGAATATTCCCTGGATCTCTATTAGTATTTCGTGCCAGAATATTCCTTAAAATGCTAAAGTTTTCTGGGTCGATACGAATATTTCCCCCCTAACATACCTCGATTTTGGTTCAATATGGTTTAAAATTCCCTGTTTACTTTTATTTATTTTTCTTATTATCAAAGAAACAACAACATACCTATAAATCATGTCTTTCAAATTGGGTCCCTCCTCCCCTCTTGCTGACAACAGTGAAACCAAGAGTAAAAAGCGTACTTCAAATCCCAAATTTTCCTCTCTCGTCCCAGCCAGGATTTTGAAAACTACTCAAAACGCTTCAGAGAGAGAGAGAGAGATTGCCACTTCACCCGCTGCACCACTATGGGTTAAGGTCCGCACAAATTGAGTGTTGTATGAGGAAGTATTGATCCTGGGAGGGTGGGTGAGTGAGTGACGGACGGCATCACCATCCACCCCCTGATTGGTACCGTTTTATCTTACGTCCCACAGATTGGTATCATGTACCAGCCTGATTGGCACTATGTCCTCATGCACCATCCTCATAATAACTTGAGGCACTATATATCAACTTAAATGGCACTTTTGGTACAATAGTCACTTGTTATTGGCACTGCCTCGCCTCTACACCCCTGCCTGGCTTTACAGCATTATTCCAATCCCTAATTGACACCATGTATGCCACTGACTGACACTCAGATGTCAGGCACGGCAGCTAATCACTCAGATTACTTCCGGAAATTGATACACTCCCGGTACCTGCTTTAATGTCCTGTTATACACAAGAAAATACAAACACATGTAGATACAAACACAGTCAGAAAGCTGTTTGTTTTGCTTTGTTTGTGTTTATCATACCAACCATCAACCAACAACTGTGTACGTTACAGTTAACCTACCATATCAAGAGCTCAGTCGTGTAATTAACGGCATGTCAGAGTTCAACACTCGGGTTAAATAAACAGTTTCTTTGCTAAATTTCCTTGTAATAATGATTTATATGACCTTGGTGAATTGGCAGGAAAGGTCAGGGCCAAAACAAGATACTCTTTCCGTCAACTATGTGCATGACCTTCACTGAGAGGCCATTGGTTGTTGCTGGGCAGTTTCCTCAGTGGTAGTTATCAACAGTGCTGACAGACAAACGACCTAGAAAATGTAATGTACCTCGAGGCCAGATGACATAAACCTCTGCACTTGGAGTATGAGTATGTTTGAATGTTAAAGCAACAGCTGAAGTTAAAGGTCGACTCTGGTTACCATCTGGGGGCCTGTGTTGTGTTTTTTACTGCACTCTGAGCTGATATTATCTTCATCATTTTCATCCTACAGTGAAACCTCCATTTAACGAACTATATTAAGATGAAAATTCGTTATATCGAGGGTCCATTAGATGCGAAACCTTCATCTAACGGATTATATGGAGAAATAAGTCCGTTATAGGGAGGTGTCACTATTGAATTTAACTTTTAGGTCTTAAATTATATATTGAAAGTCACTCATGAAGCCAGAAATTATCGTGTGTGAGACGTGACGCAAATAATCAAAACATTACTGAATTTGACCTTTTCTCTTTCCTTCAATATCCATTTGTTTTCATTTTCACAGTGAATAAATCCTGCCGTCCACATTGATATACATAATTGTTGTATATATATAGTGTGTGTGTGTGTGTGTGTGTGTGCGCGCGCCTGTGTGTATGTGTGTGATGGTAATTTTGCACGCTGCAGGAGGGGGGAAGGTGACACACTGGCGGCTGGTATCAGTGTCAACTTAGTACTCGGGTATTTTAGAGACATTTGCATATTGTAATTAGGGCACCTGGAAATATGGACAGTTAGTAACAAGGACAGTTAGCAACACGTACAGGTAACAACACATACAACTAGCAACACGTATAACTAGCAACACATACAACTAGCAACACATACAACTAGCAACACATACAACTAGCAACACGTATAACTAGCAACACGTACAATTAGCAACACGTAAAGATAACACCACGTACAGCTAGCAACAAGGACAACTAGCAAGAGGAATGACAGGCAATATAATCAGTTAGCATCATGGATAGATATAAGCAACAGTAGCAGTAGTAGTAGTAGTAGTAATAACAGTAGTAGTAGTAGTAGTAGTAGTAGTAGTAGTAGTAAGGACTTGTGGTAGAGAATAAAGGGAACATTCAGGTGGTTAAAAGGTGAACTGTATAAAGCAATGGGAAGAGTTGGTGGCAGGTGGGGGTAGGTGGGGGTTCTAAAGTCATGGTAGGAGGGATGGGGGTATGGGGGGAGGAGGTGTATCATGGGGAGAGGGATATGAGAGGGTGTTGTGTTCCGGCATAGAAAATGTAAACACTGGCGGATTTTTTTTTTTTTTTTTTTTTAATGTGGAGATTTTGTCTCGTATCTATACCGGTCACTGATAACATTCAGACATTTGTAAACATTCCTATTTTATAAACAGAAATGATTAAGATTTTATTTTTTTTTTTATTGATTTTAAGATAAGGTTGAATGATTATTATAGAAGGTAATTATTTTTATTTGATTTATTATTTATTCTTTTATTGGGTTATAGATTATTTAAGGTTTATTTATTAAGGTGGTATTGGGTAAACGACATATTAAGAGGGTAATACAAAAATGGCCAGATTAGTTAATAATTATGACCCTTAAAGTGTTTTTTTTTTATGTCAAGGTTGCTGACCATCATGTCGGGGCAACACAACGCTACACAACGCTACACAACGCTACACAACGCAACTCAACGCAACGCAACGCAACGCAGCACAACACTACGCAACACAATACAATACAACACAACACAATAACTCACACAATAACGCAACACAACACAAAACAAAACGCCACAACACAACACAACACTGTCCGTACTCACCAAGTCAAACATCAAACCTACTAGATTTCAACACTATCAGAAAATAATTACAATACTACAGAACCGAACTGATAAAACAAAAGAACGAAATATATATTCTAGACGAGACAACTGATCCATTGTTGTGATCAAACGTATTGCCAAACCGGGGTATATAAGACACTCCAATATCCCCCTCCTCCCCCGCCTCCCCCTCCCCCCGTCTCCTCCTCCCCGCCTCCTCCCCCCTCTCCCCGCCTCCCATCCCCAAACAATTCCAGTGAGTTATGTATTTTGATTTATTTCCGTCTATTTTTCATTGCACTTTTATGATTCACAATAAAATTACCCTCACCATCAGAACTACAGTATCAGGACCTACATTGGGATAAGCTCGTTGTGACGTGTGAGTGGTGGTGTGTCGTGAGGTGTTATATATTTTGTTATTAAACTTTTTCTTATTTTGAGAGACAGATTTAAGTTTTCATGAGAGTAATATTTCCCCACTTTTACTCTCTTGGTAGACTTGTGGCACTTTTGGTGGTGTAAACTACGTATTGTGATCAAGAGAGTGAGAGAAGGGGAGAGAAGGGAGAGAGAGAGTGAGAGAGAGACTGGTGGTTCTCACTAAACTAGTCACGTGGTTATCGATATAATTGTGGCGGCTGTCGTTAGTATTCAGATAAGTGCGTCCCATAGTCCCGAGGGACAGTGTGGCTACAGCGCTCTATAATATGTCTTGGGTACTGCTGTTGACCCTACCCTCTCAGCTGGGTGGAATGGGGATGCCCCGGGATAGAACCAACAACCGGTACAACAGAAGACGAACGCTATATCCACTCGGCCACCGTACCCCATAATATAAACAAAAAATATATTAATCCGTAAGGTGAAGTGAATACTGTAATATGATCGAATACGTAATATATTGGTCATAAAAAAAAGTTAGTCATACGTTGGTCAGCTGGACTCTGTTACCTGTATGTTTGTGAGGAGATCGGAGGTGACCTGGAAGACCAGGTCCATCAACATCTCGCGCACCTCCCTCTGCACCTCTTGGCTGGCTAGCGGACTCTTGGTCACCGTCTCTACTGCTAGTTTGATCATTCGGGGCAGATGACGTATGCACACGTCTTCAGTCTGCCGCATTAGGGACGCCCTAAGCGCGAGGCACAGCTGATGGAGGTGCAGTGAAGTGTGGCCGAGGTGGCTATGTAGGTTCTCACATGCGTCGTCCAGCGTCAGGTTTACAGGGTGGGTGAGGTGGCTGTCTCCCCGTACCGCTGCGAGGGTGTGGTAAAGCAGCAGACGAAAGTGTTGGGCAGCGGCGAGTGCGTGGAGTTCTCTCGACTGCTCTTTCCCCACCAGAGAGGAGGTGGGCGCGAGGGCCTGGTTAAGGAAGAAAACGCCCAGCGGTATGATGAGTATCAGACAGAGAACCCACTTAATGGAGTCGACCCACACAACGGCGCGCCACCAACTTGATGGTGCAGCAGAGTCGCTACCCTCGCCATTCAGCCTTTTATCTACCTCGTCCGACCTGACCAAAATTGCTGAAAGTGTCATTTGAAAACTGATTAAAAAAATAAAAATTTGAACTAAAGAAATGTGTATAGTATCAAACAGATTTACAGTCAACATTGTCTTATAAAACCCATCAGGGATACCAACCTTCCTCACCCACCAGAGATACCAACATCAACAGCCACCAGGGATATTACAGGAACTGAAGATAAAGTGTTGGCCCCCAAACTGACGGCAGCATCGACCCCCAAATAAGACAAAACATCACACCAGCACCAGACGACAGCGGGAATAAGACAGTTCAGAGACTCATTCCCATGTCTCACCACAGGGAGTGAACTTTGTCAGTCTGCCATACATTTATCACCCATAAAGCGGACATGACAGCTGATGGTTATTAGTCCTCGCCGGTAAATCTGTAAACGACTGTAAACTCTGAATTTCACTCATTTTTAAATATGAATTTTGTATTTTACCGAACGTGAATTTATTAAAGCCGCTTAATATTCAAAAACAGAAAGATGAGAATAAATTATGATGGACTTCCAAGCTTAAACCTACAGGGTGGATAGTACGACTTCTCAAACAAACAAACATTATACAATTGTTTATATCCGCATCACTAAACACCACAGAATACAAAGGTCATAATACAGTGAAGTAAATAATACGTAATACTTTTCCCCATCATTAAAAACATCTCATTTATTATACTGAAACATACATAAAAAAATACAAAAGCCAATGTAATTATCCAAAAGTTTAATGTAAAAAAAAATCATAATTTATGCCAGGTAATTTATCTAATGATGTTACCTGATGCTCTTCACCAATCATTCCTTAACAACAGGGGATATTTTTCACAGTAATTATCACCTCGCTAATTATACCCTAAAAGGTTCTACAGGAAAAAAATAAATAGTAATATTAATACAAGCCATCTATTACAGGAACGAGTGGTCATTTAGTTAAGTAATTACTGCAGTATTATTTTTTTTTTTACTTTTTTTTTAACCAGAGAAAAAATATTAATAACCATTACATATCGGTCATTGGGAGATAAATAAATAAATAAATAAATAAATAGAAACACCTGCACAAACACATTTAACTAGTGAGAATGGAACACCTGCAACACCTGTTATCGAGGCAATAGAAATTAATCATCTGTTTATTTATTATTGTGGGTTTTTTTTCTTATTATCCACTTGACTGTCCGTCCATTTGTTGTGAGTCAAATCTTCAGGTGAAATAACGGGGTGTCTAATCTTCAGGTGATATCAATTAGCTTGGAAACTTACTTGAACAAAAACTAATGATCATTTCACCACTTAGGTCTTGTCCTTATAAACGGTGTTGAGAGAGAGAGAGAGAGAGAGAGAGAGAGAGAGCGAGAGAGAGAGAAAACGGAACGCTGGTCATGGTTTATGGAGATGCTTTTATAAATGATTTAGTCTCCTCCATCCACTATATGTTTTGGGTAGTTGAAACGCGGAGGTGAGTGAGTGAGTGAGTGAGTCTTCCTCCTCCTCTGGTCACACACACACACACACACACACACACACATACACACACACACATACACACACACACACACACACACACACACACTATCCTTCCACATGAGAATTGTCTCCTCCTTCTCTATCTTGGTTCCCTCTTCTCCCTCTTTCCTTCCCTCCCTCTCTCCCTTCATCAAGCTATCCCTTCACCCCTCTCTCCTTCTTCATCCCTCCCTCCCTCCCCCCTCCAAAAAAAAATAATATTACAACAATTAAGAAGTAAATGTCGACAAAGAGTTACACATTTACACGCTGTCTTTATGATCATTTTTCCTCCGGGTTATTTACCACAGTGAGTTATCTGACAGTATCTCTCATGGTGCGTTCTGTTGTGTTAAAGAGAGGAGAAGAGACATGGGGTTGGTAATGGGATGCTCATTTTTATTCCGTGTTGTGTTGTAGTGAGAGAGAGAGAGGGAGAGAGAGAGAGAGAGGGGTTCATTATCAGCAGAGGTTTAAAGTCCAAGCCATAATTCTTGAGCTAATAAGTATGTATAATTCCTGACAGTCATTCATTCTATATCCAGGTGACGTTTGGCAGGTGAATGATAAACTATTTCATCAATCAATCAGTTCAGTTATAGCTCTATGAGACAAACAAAAGTATACCATAAATTTCAATTGATATAACAAAACCATTTCCTAAGTATACAGTGAATCCTCCATATAACGGATTTATCTGTCCATATAGTCCGTTAGATCGAGGTTTCACATCTAACGGACCCTTCCTATAACGGACATTCTTCTTCATATGGTCCGTTAAATAGAGGTTTCACTGTACAAGATTACGAATAATATTCTTCCACACAACAACAACCCTCCCCCAAACAAGCCAATTTAACTCCTATCAATAAATACAAAGACTTTTCAACATTCATACATATAGTCATTCAGTTATTAAGTCAAGAATGAAAATAATTCAAAATAACTGAGTAATAAACAGGTAATGCTCGCTGGATACCTGTAAGAACTTCACTTCCTCTACCTGTACACACCTGAGTCGTCTTCCTCCCCGTGGATTCGTTAACCTGTAGGTCCTATGAGGTCGAGCAGGAACTTACTGTAAAACTCTTCAAAGAAACTGGGAAGGAGGGGAGGGGAGAGGAAGAGGAGGGGAAGGGTGGGGGGGGTGAAATATGATTACTCCTTAAGTTACGATGGTGAACCTTGGGGAATCTTGACTCTTCCATGAGGTACGTACTCTCTCTCTCTCTCTCTCTCTCTCTCTCTCTCTCTCTCTCTCTCTTCTTCTTCTTCTTTTTCTTTTTCTTTTTCTTTTTTCTTCTTTTTCTTCTTTTTCTTTTTTCTTCCTTTTCTTCTCCTTTTTCTTTTTCTCCTCCTCCTCCTCCTCTCCATAACGTGATCCTTAGATAATGTATTCTCACTCGCCTATATTTTTACATCAGTGAGTCCGTGTGTTCGTTACCTGTCCATTCTGTAAACACCATATTAACTCCTTCAAGAGCCATTACAGAATATCCTGAAACATGGCAGAGTCTTCCTCGGTTTTTTTGTCCCAACTGCCTGGTGGACGAGGATCAGTAATTGACGTGATCCGATTACCTTTTGAGGATTTGGGGACTATTTTTATCTCCATTAAGTTTCCATAGATACCATCAGGACGTTGGTGTGTGTGTGTGTGTGTGTGTGTGTGTGTGTGTGTGTGTGTGTGTGTGTGTGTCAGTCTTATAGTGCTTGGTGGAGTCTGGAGGCTCTTGTGAGTACTGATGGCATCGTTAGTGTTTCCCGCGAGAAGGAAAAGTCGTCGTAAGCGTTTTGCTGTGTTTGGGAGAGGTAAGTTTGTTCTTATCCTGGGCTGCAGCTGGACCTAAAATGTTTCTCAAGTGTGTGTGTGTGTGTGTGTGTGTGTGTGTGGTTCCATAAATTATCTGGTAAATTCTTAATAATCTTGTAATCCTTTGAAGCTGAATGAGGAAACGATACAAAACCTCATTTGAAATTTTACTTAACATATCTTACTTCTATGACGTAATTATTATTGTTAACCTCCATTAGTTTAGATATTTGTATTAAATCGCTTGGAAGGAAGATTTATCTTAGCTATGGATGGTAACAATAGCTGGAGGTGACTTAATGGTGTTAAGTGAGAATTTTTATTATATTTTACTTTCTCTCAATGGCACACACCTAACCTAACCTAGCCCAACCTAACCTAACCCAACCTAACCCAACCTAACCTAACCTAACCTAGCCCAACCTAACCTAACCCAACCTAACCTAACCTAACCTACACCCCCCCTATACCACCTGTCTCTTGGAGCTGTATGGCATTAGCGTCTTGTATCCACTACCTACTCTCTTACCTGTGACTTTATGCAAATTTATTCATCCTTTGATAATTATGAGGAGTAAACCTTTTTCTTATTTTTTCATCTTACACACACACACAAGACCTCTCTCTCTCTCTCTCTCTCTCTCTCTCTCCTCTCTCTCTCTCTCTCTCTCTCTCTCTCTCTCTCTCTCTCTCCTTCTTGGTTGGCCCTCAGTCTCACGGGACATAGAGACTTCACAAGAGTAGTTCATCCACCCTGACAATGCCAGACTAAAAAACCTCTTTGTTACGCGTCTTCCTTCTCTTCCTTCTCCTCCTCCTCCTCAATCTTCATCCTCCTCCTCCTCCTGCAATTGTCCCTCTCTCTCTCTCTCTCTCTCTTCCTTTCATATCACTTTTTACAATAGAGTTAAAGCAAGAGAGTATCATGTAACAGGCCCCAGTAGTGAATTTTTTGTAACATTTGTTTGTTTTATATATAAGCTGTACTACACACACACACACACACACACACACACACACACACACACACACACACACACACACACACACACACACACACTAGACCCCAGATTTCCAATTCCATTGTCATTCATAGGATGAGTCTCAACCCTATATTATTTACCATCGCTCCACCTGGCATATAAGACCTCACTAACTAACCTAACTACCTTCATGTCTCACTCATTACGAGGATCCTGTCAAGAGCTGCTGCCGTCGTCATGGAAACTAATTTTTAGGGGAGGGAGTGGGGGGTGGAGGAAGGAGGG